TATAATTGAATATGCATGTTGTTTGTGCAGATTATATAATTGAATATGCATGTTGTTTGTGCAGATTATATAATTGAATATGCATGTTGTTTGTGCAGATTATAATTGAATATGCATGTTGTTTGTGCAGATTATAATCGAATATGCATGTTGTTTGTGCAGATTATAATCGAATATGCATGTTTTTAAGTGATTGACTTAGATTTTGTACATCATTTATTAACTTATTCACACCGCTGTATAGTTTATGACGATATTTTATCGTATTTTTGATTCAATTATTTACTCGTGTTTTCGTTTAATAAAGTTTATGAGAAGAATTTATTTTCTTATTTAATTATCTACAATGAGAACCATAACACTGTGGAATAGAACGATGACATTAAAACAATCTGTGTTTTGATGTTGTTTTTTTTATCAAACTATGTAGCATAGAAATCCCTTGTTAAGTAAAATGGGTTTGTTTATACTGCACAATTGCTTTGTCTCATGCTCACATGGACTATTTGAAATATAAATTCGAGTCTAAAAGTTGACTTCCTATTTCAGAGCTTTTGTTGTTTTTACCCGGATCTAGAAAATAAAATCAGCTTTTGGATCATCTCGAACATAAAAGAAAGCATATTTTTTTTTTTTAATGTTAAAAATAAGAATATTGATCTCAGAATAAAGTGTTAAACATTTTTTATCCTACATGTCTAATTAAAAAAACCAGTAAATTATTCAGTCTCACTTTGCAGGTTTTTGTTGAGACTAGTGGATTTAGACGGGAGACTGAGATTTGAAAACGCGGATAGAGATGCATCTTGATTATGTAATATTTATGTTAATTGTACAAATACGAATAAAATATTTCCTTGGCCAGTACATAACTCTGTTATTAGCATGCTCCTGGGGTAGAGTATTGTAATACCAGTTGTACCTTAATATAAATGTTATTACACAATTTCTCTACAGGAAAGGGAAAGGTTGTTTTCAAACTTTTGACAAAACTTTCAGCATTTCAACCCCCCCCCCCTTTGAACATCCATAAATGTACTATGCATAAAGACTGTTTGTATCTGAAGCAAGGAGATGATCCGGAAATGAAACGGAAACAAAATATTTTTAATATTTTTACAAAAAAATATTGGAATGAACATGACATTCAAATATCTAAAATGTTTTTGAAATAAAATATTTTGAATTAAACTGCTTGATATGAATGACCTATCCCAGAAGTCAAAGGTAGAATATTAATATTACAAGACAACTAAAATTAATCCATGTTGATATAATTATTAAAGCCTACTTGTCATTGCAAAGATTGTAGGTTAGAGCTGCAGGCATATGGATCTTCCACTGCAACATTTTACTCCCAAGAATTGTATCTCTGAATAACATTCATAAACAAACATTTCACTTATTTTATAAAAAAGGAATTTTTGCCACAAACTCAAATTTTCTAATCCCTATATCTTTGCAACCAGATGGTGTAAATCTTTAATATTGCAAACTTAGGCTACTTGATCTAAAGTTTGAAATATCAAAATCAGAGTTTGTGACAAAAACTTAGTTCCTTTGTGTTAACTTGAAACTTGAAATTAAACTTTAAATTATTCTTGCGTATGTTTTAACTGTGCAAATACATTTGAATAGGTCCAGGGTAAAATATTTATACATTTTTTATCTTTTTTCTGACAGATTGACAGTAATGACAACCCATGTTCTCTATACGACTTCCTTACTAAACTAAACTACACTGTACGTTCATACAATATATAAAAAGAGTATTGTACATGTATGTACATATATGTACAATACATTTTTTATCTTTTTTCTGACAGATTGACAGTAATGACAACCCATGTTCTCTATACGACTTCCTTACTAAACTAAACTACACTGTACGTTCAGACAATATATAAAAAGAGTATTGTACATGTATGTACATATATGTACAATCCTCCATAGAATGCTGTGAGAGCTGTAAGCTGTAGTGGAGGCCTCTGAAGACAGTACAGAGAACAATTATTTTTTAATTAAATTTTTGACCAAAGCAGATTTTAAAAGTCATTAGAAAATTGAATAGGTATAAAAAAGAATCAATTTGTTAATCTTTACGAAATTAATTTTATAGAATTACTTAGGTCCAGCTTCCACCAGGAGAACTTTAGTGTTTTCATCCTCAGTTAATCTATTAGATAGAACACAGCCTGCAGAACCTGCTCCAACCTAGTAAACATATACAGGGTGCACCCATAAACATGAGAATAAAGTGACCATGTTAAGATCGTCTTTGTCGATGATTTTTGATTTATTATCGTGATGTCTACTAAAAAAAACTATAATCCGAAGTGTATGTTTCGAATTTGGAATTTGTTTTTTTAAAATTAAATTTTGAGTAAATTCCCGTCTACAAAAAAGATTTTTTTTAGACTTATTACATCTCTTTTAAAGTAGGTATTACAATGCATCTTATTCATAACAAAGATGATCTTAAAGTTGTCACTTAATTCCCATGATTATTTGGACTCCTTGTGTCATAAAAATATATAATATTTATCTATCAGATAGACCGCGTTCTGCAGACAGAGTCCTAAACATAGTTTCTGTCAATTACTTACTCCATTAACATATAATCTGGAAACTAGTGCTTTTCAACTTTGAAATCTTTTTAATGATGCCGGTCCTGTAAAAATCAGAAATCCTAACAGTTCAATGATCTGGATTACAGAGAAAGACGATTTTAAATCTAGAAAGTAGTGTAATCTTATTTTGCTGCTAAGAAATATACTAGAAGTTCATAATTATGTGTATTAAAATAGTGTCCAAATTTCCCAAATAAACTCTAATTCTATCTAGAAAAATGCAACAAAAATATAGAACAAAAATTAATTTAATATTTACTCACCACAATTTTGTCAAACTCTAATTTGTCCCAACCAGACACCCCCCTGGTCCCTTTATACAACACCGTCTTGACACCTAGCAACCTACTCAACCCTAGCATTCTTTAGAAGTAAAATATACGATTATCCAATAGGAGTTCAACACTTTGTAGTAGTCTAACTTCGGCTTTGAGATTGGCTGATTTCGTAATCTTTCAGAGTTAAGAAAATTTAGCCTAATTCCAACTTGAAACATTGCATCAAAAGTAAGAAAATAAATTTAATAAAATTATCACTGTTTATTTTGGCACTTTTGGAAAAAAATTATTTCAAAAACATAGAACTGTATATTTTTAATTGTAATACTCAAAGTCATGTATCTTAAAAGATTTACTTCAGCTTCTGGAAGGAATGTTAATTATACTGAGCAGAAAGGATTGAAATTTATGTGTATTTAAACTAGGGTTTCCATTTTTTTCGGATCAATGCCTTAAGTACGGAACCAAGCATTTAACAATTTTAGAAATAAAATAACTGGTTTTTAAATAAATCTACTCCTACGCAGAGCTTGGTGTGACATTTCGAAAAAAGTTTACTGGATGATTATTCAATATAACTTTTATTCTGAATAATCGTAAACTTTTATCAGCAGGTCACACACAGCTCTCCGAAGCATTTAAGGGGAAGATTTATTCTTAATTCGGTTAAAAAAGTTTCCGCGGTAAATTTCCAAAAGTTTTTAATGGTTTGTCATACTTAAGAGCTTCAGGAAAAAAAAAATAGAAACCCTAATTTAAACCTCGTTATTAGAGGAAATATATAATTATAATATGCTTTTATTGTCACCAAAATATTTTGACTGATATTTTCTAAACTTGATTGTAGATAGATAGATAGATCTATAAACAGTACAGACAAATGTGTTCAAATTTTCATCATACATTTATCACATATGCTTGATTATGCAAGTATTATGCCTATTGCATATATATCTAGACATATATAAAGTAATAACCTACTTGTGTTTTTTTTCATGTATGTCAGATCATAACTTGACAGATTTGATGAAGCCAAATTGGGGAAATCGTTAGAACCACAAGAATGTCCTGAGCTTGGTTTTAAAAATTCTAAGTTAAATGGGTAAAAGTTAATTATACATTAGAAAGAAACTTTAAATTAAAGATAAAAGACCAGAAAACAAGCAAAAATGTCTTAAAAATTTCCATTTTTCTAAATTTCATGATGTCACTTTTATTAAAAACAAAACAGCAAATATTTTGGTACAAATTCTTTTAACGTGGCAGTAATTGAATATTTAAACCTAAAAGATTCTATAGATTATCCAGATTTTAAACACATATTTAAATATCTATTTATGAATACTTTGATACATTTTAACATAGTATTACATTGTTAAAGAATTGTGTGAGTGTTAACAAGTTTTTTTTAAATTGAAAGCTTACAAGTATTTAAAAAAAGTTATTTTAATTGACAGCTTCTCTTTGTTTCCATGTTTCTTTGTATCCATGCTGTTTAAAAGCTTCATCTAAATTTAAATCGAAAGTCGTCTTCATTACATTGATATAATCATCTACCACCGTATAAAATATGTCCTTAAACCCATGTTCATTGATGTTATAGCCTAAATTTCTTCATATTTTCGCCGAAAATGTTCAAAGACAGGACGTTTTGACAGATTTTATTCAACTTTTAGATTAGAAAAAAAATATTATTTTGTTTATCTAAAAGCGCTAATGTGAAATTTATTATTATTATTATTGTCTTGCTATTATTATTATTATTATTATTATTATTATCATTATTATTGTCTTCTTATTATTATTATTATTGTCTTATTATTATTATCATTATTATTGTCTTATTATTATTATCATTATTATTGTCTTGCTATAATTATAAGTGACAAATTCGAGTGGAATCAGCTGATCGGTTTTCATATTTAACATATTTTATAATTCATAAGTTTTATTAATATTATACTTGATAAACATTAATTTGAACTAAGTAAAGAAAACAAGAACAATCTGATATTTTAAACCTGTACTTCTTAAAGCTTCCAGAAATAAAGCAAAGTTATCGGGCGTTGGATCAATTCTCAAATTTTTCCATCAGCCTTTAGTTTATGCAGTTGACTCATGTCTATGCCTTATTTCTTTACCCGACGATATTCTCGTCTATAAATTAATAAGCATATAAGAGTAAATTATCTACCCGGAAAATAGAATAGGAAGACGACAGTATATTTGATAGTGATACAAATTAAACAGTTTTACTAGACATATATTTATTTTTTTACTTTATCAATTTTTTTATTTTATTATTTTTTTTATGAAACAAATTATTTGATACATGTATTTAATGCAGAATGCAGATAATCATGTTTCCAATCTTCTTGTTTCCTGGCTGTCCTGTAATGCTCGTTCAATTAGCTGCATACCCCCGCCCCCCCCAGGAGGGTTAATATGCAGTTTTGAGATGCTGATCAGGCAATTTGTAGTATTTTAATATCAGCTCTTGAGTTTCTGTATTTATTTCAGTTGTTTAACGTCGCCATATTTTTAAAAAATGTATTTATTTTCAAGGATCGGACACTTAAAAAAAATAATATTGAAAGGACGAGGATTTCGATGTGGTTCGGACGAGAAAATGATGAGAATGTGGTTCGGACTAGAGATTGATGTGGTTGGCCTTCCTCCCCTCGTTCAATGCTTCTCACTATTTATCAATTTCTATCTCTATTGTAATTAAAGTTTGTCTACTTTATGTTAATTTATTAGTTTCTATCTCTACAAATATAAATATTTGTTTTAAGTTTGGATGATACAATATTCATGGATATAATAAGATATTGATATATAGTGATATATATACAACAATCAATATATTTATAAAAATTATTTTCTTTATTTGTTTAGTTTGTTCTGTGTTGAAGTATCTATTTATAAAAGAATAGATTTACAAAAATTGGTATTTGCTTTATTTTGCAAACATGTGTGCACTGGTGTAGAGTTCATGTTTTATGTTGAAAAATGTTTAAATAAAGTAAACCATATATGTAAAAAAATGTTGGGGGATAAGAAACCGCCAAATGTAAAATAGCTCAAATTTACAGGATGAGTACCTACAGATGATAGACATTTAGATTTCACAATAATTTAACTGTTCGGACCTTGTCCCAGCAAGCTATCACTTTCGATCCCGATTTGACAAATTTTCGTTTATTCTTTCTAAGACAAAAGTAGAAATAAATGCTTGTTAAATAATAAACCAAAACTCTTCAAGTCTATATTGCTTGTTAAATAATAAACCAAAACTCTGTAAGTCTATAATGCGTGTTAAATAATAAACCAAAACTCTTCAAGTCTATATTGCTTGTTAAATAATAAACCAAAACTCTGTAAGTCTATAATGCGTGTTAAATAATAAACCAAAACTCTTCAAGTCTATATTGCTTGTTAAATAATAAACCAAAACTCTGTAAGTCTATAATGCTTGTTAAATAATAAACCAAAAGTCTGTAAGCCTATGATGCTTGTTAAATAATAAACCAAAACTCTGTAAGCCTATATTGCGTGTTAAATAATAAACCAAAACTCTGTAAGCCTATAATGCTTGTTAAATAATAAACCAAAACTCTGTAAGTCTATATTGCTTGTTAAATAATAAACCAAAACTCTGTAAGTCTATAATGAGTGTTAAATAATAAACCAAAACTCTGTAAGTCTATAATGCTTGTTAAATAATAAACCAAAACTCTGTAAGTCTATAATGCTTGTTGTATAATAAACCAAAACTCTGTAAGTCTATATTGCAGTTAAACTAGCTGTATAGACTAAGCTGAACCACTTCTTGTTCTTTAACCGGCGCACAAGAGAACTGAATTAAGTACATACGTCTGAATCATATTCAATTTCTTCTAATCAAACTTTTAATCAAATATAGTTCTCCCAGATTATAAAGAACATGCTTGATTAACTTTACAAAAATGTTAACAGTTGGAATATCAAGAAATTTCAGCTTATACTTAAATGTTTTAGAAATATGAAAAATAATATTTTGTGAAAATATGGAAAAGATGTTGACTTAAATAAATTTGCTGACAGAAGAGAAGAATAAGAATACAACTCAACAGAACTCATGAAATCTGTTTAAAGACATGAAAATTTAAAATTGTTGGGAGTTGGATGAATAATGGTAGAAAGCACTTGACTATTGACCATGCCAATTTAAATTTGCAAAATATTTGCAAAATTTTCCTAAATATGGCGTGAAATAAAAAGCTAAACTTTTGCACTTCAACTTCAAAATTAAAAAAAGTTTTATTTGATAAGCTAACGTAAGTTTTTTTGCGGATTATTAGTACATTCTCTGTAATTATACTTTCCTCAGGTTGAAAAGAGAAAAAATGAGAATAATTGTTAAGGAATGTTTTGTAGATCTTTTAAATAATTGAAAAGATATGATAACAGTTGTTGTTTCACACTCAACAGCAATGATCAGACATGAAAGAGGATCAAGGGGGGAGGGGAAACTGAAATCCCCCTCCCCATTAGTTCCGCAACGAGTGATGGTAAGCAAAAAAGAGGAAAAAACTAGGAGTAAAAGTATAGCATAAGAGCGAAAACGCAGATAAAATAATGAGTAACTATTATTAAAAATATTTTTTTTTCTATTTTCTATTTTCTATTTTCTAATGACAGAAATTCTAATTGGATATTTGATATTTTCCCCCGGTTAACCAGGTTCTTACTGTCAATAAACAATGTTGATTTAATAACAAGAATAAATAGTATATCCCATTGTTTATTAGGGGTGAAACATTTTTCACAAATTTGAGAGTAATCAATTTCAAGTAGTAACTACTAATGTATTTTTTAATTCTAAGAAACATTTACAAAAGGCATTTTTTGCTAAAATCAAAATTCACCAAGCAAATGGTCTGTGTAATAACAAAAATATGTCGATATGGGCCTCAAAAGATCCGTCTTTCTAAGCCATATTAAACGGAAAAAAACATTTTAGAAAATAATAAAAAAAAATAGTGGAGCTGAAAAACTAAGGAAAACAGCTGATTTTGTGATTTCCCATTTTTTTCCACTTTACTACTCCTAGATCGTATGTTCTAGAATATTTATACAATACTAACCTTTTCCCTCTTCAATACTAACCTTTTCCCTTTTCAATACTAACCTTTCCCCTCTTCCATACTAACCTTTCCCCTCTTCAATACTAACCTTTTCCCTCTCAATACTAACCTTTTCCCCAATCCATACAAACCTTTTCCCTCTTCAATACTAACCTTTTCCCTCTTCAATACTAACCTTTTCCCTCTCAATACTAACCTTTTCCCCATCCATACAAACCTTTTCCCTCTTCAATACTAACCTTTTCCCTCTTCAATTCTAACCTTTTCCCCTTACATACTAACCATTTCCCCGTTACATTCCAACCCTTTTCCCCCTCATATCTCTCAGATATTCTTTCCTAATATTCTTTATCTTGTCTCTAATTCCCAGTAGGCTACCCACGATCAAAAACTGTAATTTTAAACTTTAAAAAAACAAAAACACAATTTACTCTGGCGGAAAAAAATATGTTTTTTCAAACATTTCCACCAAATTTGATCAAATAGAAGCCAGAAAATTAGAGTTTTATACATCGAGATAAATGACGAGGATCTCAGCTCTAGATTTGATCTTGATTTATTTGATCATATATGTTTGAGCATAACTCAGAAACCTCTAGACCGATTTGCCTCAGAGTTTAATTGGGGAACTCGTTAGAACCACGGGAATGGTTCTAGCGAGGTTTAAAAGATTTAAATTGATTGGATTGACTTTTTAAAAGAAAATTCAGTATCAATGCAAGGCTGGGTTTCCAAGCTAGAGTTTTATATATTTTTGAAATGAAATTTAATGAGATTTATCACTGCAATCATTTTTGATAAATGCTTTGATATTTTAGGTGATTTATGATTTATTTTATAAATGAAATAGATACATCATTATCGTTTATTAAAGATTTATGCCAAAATATAGATTTGTTAAGGGAAAATTTATTTTTCAAATTTTGAATTAACCATTATATGAATGTTATATTTATTAAATTAAAAAATGTTGGCAAAAATTAGAGCAAAAACTCAAATTTCAAACAATCTACTGACTAATTAATTGATTAGTTAATTAATTAATCAACAAATCTATTGATCATTAATCAACCATTGTAATTGGCTGACCAACCAAGAAATGAATGATCAATTAATCGATCACTGAACTGATATTCACACAATATGTTGATCACTCAGCTGTGTGCTCATCCGTTTCCGCCGTTCCGCCTTCTCAGCAGATGTAGCTCCATGGGGCCGCTAAATAAATAATGTTTTTATAGAAAGTAAATTTTACAATCTATTTATAATAGAATATATTCATCATCAGATAAACTTCGGTATATGTGATATATATTAGTGCAATGAAAGAACTTTTATAAAGTTTTTTAATGAATTAATTATTAGGGGATCTTCAGTTACTGTTCTGCGTATTTCAGTAGTATTTAGCTATCGATATCAATCAATCAAATATGAATTTACATTTTGATTATTCCTTTAAAACCAGTTTCAACTCAGACATTTTAATGTTTTAGTAAATCTAAATAATAAATCAAGACATTCGTATATATGTTCCCTATAGCCTTCCAAACGGCTGGACCGAATGGGTTGACGTTTTTTTAGGAAACCCAGTTGTATCCTGGTGGTAACATAGGCTAAAAAAATCCTTTTTTTTAATTACTACGGACAACGTCGGACACTTCAGCTAGTTACCGTTATTTCTTTGACAACGACATTTTAAAATTTCTGTCATTGTATTCATAATTATGTGATATACTAATGTAACTGAACCATTTCTGTCATTGTATTCATAATTATGGGATATACTAATGTAACTGAACCATTTCTGTCATTGTATTCATAATTATGTGATATACTAATGTAACTGAACCATTTCTGTCATTGTATTCATAATTATGGGATATACTAATGTAACTGAACCATTTCTGTCATTGTATTCATAATTATGGGATATACTAATGTAACTGAACCACTTCTGTCATTGTATTCGATATACTAATGTAACTGAACCATTTCTGTCATTGTATTCATAATTATGGGATATACTAATGTAACTGAACCTGGTTTACTACAAGAATAATTAACACATTTTTTAAAATGCACTCAGCGTATCTTTCTTGAAATTTTCAAAAGGAGTGGAAAAAGTAAAAGAAAAACTTCTCCTGTGATATTCTCTTTTATTTGAAAATGTATTGTACAGAAGTTTGAAAGTGGAGAAGAAGAAATGTCTCATGAAACTTTTTGAACTTTAATTTCTAAAAGTAAATTCTTAACTTTTGATGTTTTAGGAATATTACAACAATTAAAAGATTAACAATCTTTTTATAAACATTTATCAACGTTTTACGTGTTTTCTTTTCTGATTTGCGTTTTATTCAATATTCATGACCCTAGACTTTACCTTAAACAACATAGTCACAAATTCTTCATAGTTTACATTTCCATCACCGTCAATATCAGCTTCATTTATCAGCTCCTAAAAACATAATCAGCTTCATTTATCAGCTCCTAAACAACATAATCAGCTTCTTTTATCAGCTCCTAAACAACATAATCAGATTCATTTTTCAGCTCCTAAACAACATAATCAGCTTTATTTATCACCTTCTAAACAACATAATCAGTTTCATTTATCACCTTCTAAACAACTTATTCAGCTTCATTTAGCAGCTCCTAAACAACATAATCAGCTTCATTTAGCAGCTCCTAAACAACATATACCGCTTCATTTATCAGCTCCTAAACAACATAATCAGATTCATTTAGCAGCTCCTAAACAACATAATCAGATTCATTTATCAACTCCTAAACAACAATATCAGCTTCATTTAACAGTTCCTAAATAATATAATCAGTTTCATTTATCAGCTCCTAAATAACATAATCAGCTTCATTTAACAGTTCCTAGGGACAAAACTCTTATGGTATAAAAGAGTATACTTGAAGTTGCAGACTTTTAATATTAAAAACTACAAATTATTCTAAACCAAGCTAGGGTCAAAGTTAGAAATATCAAAGGTCTACAACTTTAGGTTGCATTTTAAGGAAAGTGATCAGCTTCTGTAAGACCTTATTGACTCATTATTATCGTAGAATATTTTTATCATCTAACCTTTTCAAGATTTTAATAAATGCAGTTTCAGTTTTAGTTATTACTAGCTTGGGAACCCAGAGCTGTCAAGGTTACTCAATACTCATAGTTACTCCCACCATTTAATCACCCTAGAACGATTTTACATGGAAACTAAATTTTCGCTATAAAAGTCGACTTACTCATTTTAGAATCTCAAAATCAAGCTAATCACATTCCCGTGGCTCTCTTGAGTTCCCCAATCAAAATTTTAGGCTAATCGGTCCAGGGATCCCTGAGTTATGATTGGACAACCAAACAGACAGACAAACAGAGATTACAACTTTATATATATATATATTGCAACACTTATTAAAGTTTGATAAAAATAAAATTAAACTGTAAGAAAAACTTGGATTATAAAAACAACAACTCTTGTTTAGATTGATGAATCAATTATTCATTCTATTCTTCCAACATCAAATATTTATCTCCATTCAACTATTAGAAAACTGTCTGTAGTCGGTACAGTACAGTAGTCGACAGAATAAAATGGACACTTTCTGAAATCAATTTAACGTCTATTAAAAACCAGCTGACATACAGGGTTACCCACAAAGGATGAGACTTAAAAGACGGAATTAGCTTAGTCCGTTTTCTTGCATTCAAGTTTCCTTGTAGTCCCTTTTCTTGCATTCAAGTTTCCTTGTAGTCCGTTTTCTTGCATTCAAGATTCCTTGTATAGTCCGTTTTCTTGCATACAAGTTTCCTTATATAGTCCGTTTTCTTGCATTCAAGTTTCCTTGTAGGCCGAAACTGGTTTATTTCTGTGCTTAAATATTAAGTGAACCATATAAATACTGTATTGAATGCGGAAACCAAAAATCAAGTTTCAAATCGTAATAGTTTTTGGTCGTCTGTACAGTTTCATCCTTTGTGGGTAACATATTCAATATAACATCTATATTATACAGGCTACAGCTCTTTGCTCACATATGGATATTTATATATATATAACGGTTTGAATAGTTAATATTTCAGTTGTTAACAAGGTTGTATAATAAGGTTGGTTATTCTCGATCTATATTAGGAGACAACATTTTCCGTACATTAAAAGCGCATCGAGAGTAACCAACCTTATTATACAACCTTGGTTGTTAATCTTGTGAAACTTTTTCATGGATAATTACTTGAAATAACGTGAACAGTCTCTTTAAACAATGAAAATCAGGGGTATGATATACAATAGTAGTTACTGGTAACAACATTTATTCAGAGATATTTGTTTATTAGCAAGATGTCTACAAAAAAGCTAAATAAAACGTAATCGTTATTGTTTCTCAGAAATTGTTATCCATGTTATCCCTTTATTCTCTTGCTCCTTGTATTTTCAAACTATATTCCTATATTCTGGGACACCCTATTGTTTTAATAAATTATAACTCTGAGACACCTTGAAACATAAATTATATCCCTGTAAGGCTGTATAGTGTATTGTATACCTAGAGCAGTTATGAATCCGTGACCTTCTCTATCAAAAACACGAAATGCCTCACTAAAAATTTTAAAATATTAAAATAAATTTGTTTTTGGTAAATACCGGGTGTCCTACGAAACATGACTTTAGCAAGATAACTTGTAGGTCGTCTTTTATCTTTGAAATAATATGCGTACTTTACTCTTAAACCTAATTTTACGAGTAAAATTCTAGAGTTAATAAATAATGATAAAAAATACCCATAGTCTTGGCATTTTCAAAATGTGGTCTGATTTCATTATTACCGGAGATATGAAGAATTTTATTTAGATTTGGACATTATTGGTTTAAAATTGAATACTGAACAGAATCCTTAGTATCTCCAGTAATATTAACAACACAAATTTGGTTGACCACATTTCAGAAATGACTCGATGATTTTTGTGGTTTTCGTTTTTCAATAATCATTGACGACTGAATGTCACAAGGTTGTATAATAAGGTTGGTTACTCGACCGCTTCAATGTACGGAATATGTCGTCTCCTAAGATAAAAACTATAATTTGACGTCACTGGATATAGAGGCGAGAGTTACGTCATTTTAGGTTTTTATCTATCTATCTGAGGTGACGACATTTTCCGTACATTGGAGCGCATCGAGAGTAACCAACCTTATTATACAACTTTGAAATGTCAAGAACAAATTTAAAGATTAAAGACAAATTTCAAATCTTCTTGCTACTTTCATGCTTAGTGCCACACTCTGTATTAGGCTGAAAAAGTGCAGCATCAGTTTATTTTAATCAAAGCTAAACAGATATCCTGTGACATTCTTACTTTAAAATTATTTTTCTAGGTTCCAAAACTAAAATGATAAAAGTTATAAAAACACCGATTAAGCGAAGTGAAGAATGAATTATATTCTATCATTAAACATTCAATAAAGTCAATGTAAAAAAGATAATTTTTGTACCGTATTTCTTCTTCTATATCAGTATCATGGATTTCCCTAAATAAAATATTTAAAATTAAAAGTAAAATATAATAGTTACTAATCTCTACTAGATCAAGTTTTTATCTATGTCTGTTCGTAAGTCACAATTCGATGTACAAACCGCTAAAGTCGATGTATGCACACTGAATTGTGTACAATAATATGTACACATATTATTGATTTAATATGAGTATATAAATGCAAAGAGATGTTTACCAAAGAAAAGGTTTGTAGGGTTTGTCAACGAATAAAGACGGGTCTAAAATTACTTTTTTTGTACAGTCCATCTTATAAAATTGTGAATGTTAAGACATCAAGTGTGTTATTGATGCATTAATTAAGCAAATAATTTTACCAGTGATTTAAAAATAAAATCACGGAAAACTTTTTCATACAGTGTTAACCAGAAATCAGTGGAATACATTGACGCCATCTTACTTTCTTTTTTATTACAAAATATCATACTTTTAAAATTTGAATAGCGTGTATCAGATGTTACAATATTTAAAATCAAACAAAGAAAATATACGATAATCGTTCCAGAGTATTCTGGTTACCCCTGTATACTCTTTATACATGTCTAGCTTCCTGATAGTTCATGATGACATTTACTTGCATAATAAAACTAGGGGGAGTTATTTATTAATTATTTAAAAACTATTGATTCGTAGAAGCATTTCAGGAATACACGATTACCTATAAATTAAGGAAATACAAAATAAATAAAAATAGACTTTTTTGGAAATATTTTTATTTTTACAGTATCATTTACACCATTTATTGTAATATTGTAGCATAATCTTAAATCTTTAAAGTCTAGAATTATTTCCTTGGTTAACAAATAAACAAAATTGATTTAACATCTTTTCAATTTACTTCTTTACTATACCTAGTCATCAGCCACACAAATTCATTAAAGCTGATACATCCATTCCCATCCTGATCTATCTCATTAATCAGCTCCTAGACATTCATTCATTCATTCCCATCCTGATTTATCTCATTAATCAGCTCCTAGACATTAATCCCTTAACATTATCCTGATCCAACTGATTGAACCACTTCTTAAAAAGAGGAAAGGATGGTTTCAGGGTAGACTGCCAAATATAGTTTAACTCCTTAACATTTATTCATTCAACCATTGTCATTTATTTCTTCAACTATCCTAGAAATGGATCCATTTATTTATCAAAACTCTTCATTTTTACCCGTGGATATTCATCATCCAATTCTTTTTATTATCAACCTGTATTGTATATTGATTAATTCAATTATCTAGCTTTCTAGCAGCAGTGTAATTAACTAATTACAAGAAATAACAGATCATTTGTTTACTAATACATTTAATCAAAATAGTGATTATAAAATGGTATCTTTACACACATTTTTATATACTTTTTTTACATATTTTACTTTGCTTTCATTAACAAATAAGAAAATAATAAGAGTATTCTCGCTAAGCTTAGCATTTTTACTTCAAACAGCCTGTTTCTGAATTAATTAAGTATATTTTATAAAGCCTAATTTTTGGTTCCATATAAAAATTTATAAAAATCGTAATTTTAATGAACTCTTTATATGAAAAGAGTCAAAAAAAAAACTTACTTGTGAATTTCTACAAAAAAAGAGATATAATAAAGTAACTCGCGAGATTAGCCTTGAAGTTGACCTCGTTTAATTTCTGAATTCTTCTTCATATAAAGACTGATTTGTTCACTGATCCCTCAGTAAAAGACTGATTTATTGACTGATCCCTCAGTAAAAGAATGATTTGTTGGCTTGTTTCCCTGTAAAGCTGTAAAAAGACTATTCCCCCTGTAAAGCTGTCAAAAAAAGCTTATTTATTGACTGGCCCCCCTGTAAAGCTGTAAGAAACTCATTTATTGACTGGTCCCCCTGTAAAGCTGTAAAAGACTGATTTGTTGGCTCTGTAAAGCTGTAAAATGGCTGATTTGTTGACTGGTCCCCCTGTAAAACTGTTAAAGGCTGATTTGTTGGCTGGTCCCCCTGTAAAGCTGTAAAAAGACTAATTTGTTGGCTGGTCCCCCTGTAAAGCTGTAAAAATACTGATTTGTTGGCTCTGTAAAGCTGTAAAATGACTGATTTGTTGACTGGTTCCCATGTAAAGCTGTAAAACGACTGATTTGTTGTCTGTTCCCCATAAAGCTGTAAAAAGACTGATTTGGTGGCTGGTCCCCCTGTAAAGCTGTGTAAAACGACTGATTTGTTGACTAGTCCCCCTGTAAAGCTTTAAAAAGACTGATTTGTTGACTGGTCCCCCTGAAAGCTGTAAAAAGACTGATTTGTTTGGTCCCCCTGTAAAGCTGTAAAAAAAATGATTTTTTGGCTGGTCCCCCTGTAAAGCTGTACAAAAAAACGATTTGTTGACTAGTCCCCCTGTAAAGCTTTAAAAAGACTGATTTGTTGACTGGTCCCCCTGTAAAGCTGTAAAAAGACTGATTTATTGACTGGTCCCTCTGTAAAGCTGTAAAAAGACTGATGTATTGACTGGTCCCCCTGTAAAGCTGTAAAAAGACTGATGTATTGACTGGTCCCTCTGTAAAGCTGTAAAAAGACTGATGTATTGACTGGTCCCCCTGTAAAGCTGTAAAAAGACTGATGTATTGACTGGTCCCTCTGTAAAGCTGTAAAAAGACTGATGTATTGACTGGTCCCCCTGTAAAGCTGTAAAAAGACTGATGTATTGACTGGTCCCTCTGTAAAGCTGTAAAAAGACTGATGTATTGACTGGTCCCCCTGTAAAGCTGTAAAAAGACTGATGTATTGACTGGTCCCTCTGTAAAGCTGTAAAAAGACTGATGTATTGACTGGTCCCCCTGTAAAGCTGTAATAAGACTGATGTATTGACTGGTCCCCCTGTAAAGCTGTAATAAGACTGATGTATTGACTGGTCCCCCTGTAAAGCTGTAATATCTGTACTTGAAGCTCTCCTTCTGTAGGTGTCCAGCCAAATGTCCGCATCACCTTGAAAATTTCAGTTTTAGTTTAAAAACTTCGAATCGTCCCCATTGGTAATAATTAAATTTTTAAATGTCGTCATAAATAAATTAAAAGTAAGTTTTTTTGCATTACTAACTAGATGCTTTCAGGACTCATTTTGCAAAGAACTTTTTTCCCAGGGGGGGGAGGGCTGCTGGGCGCAAAGAAATCCCCCCCCCCCTTGTGTACCATCCTTACAGAGTGTGATTTTTTTAGCATTTTTTTTAAACTGTCATTTATATTTTAGCTAGTTTATCATTTGTAAAAAATGATTAATTCACTAATTCAGGTCCTTAAAGGGTGATAAACTGGAATAAAATTGAAAATTGTAGATTCTTTATCATTTCAAGAAATTTTATAAAATATATGTTGTTTAAACAGATAAGATAAATTGCCCCGCGCCCAGAAATTTTTCCAAAAGTCATTTTATTGAGATGCTATTTTTGTAAAGAAGAATTTGTTTAACCTGGCCCAGCTCTACTGTAGTAATCGTCCCACCTCCATCCCTGAAAATATATTCATTATTCAAACGATAGCCTTGAAGCCTTCATCTGATCAAAACAAAGTTTAATTCTCAATTATGAAAATGCTTATCTTCCCCAGTTAAAAAGATATGGGATTAGAAAATTGGAGTTTGTGGCAAAGAATTTTGCAACCTGATTATTTAAATCTTTGACATTTTAAATTTTGACTTCTTGATTTAGCAGAATTCATAGTTTGAATTATCAAGGGTCTACTACATTTGGTTGCAAAGATATAAGAATTAAAAATTAATTTTAGTGGCGATTAATATGCATTTCCTTTTTATTTGAATTGCTTTTAAATTTCTATTGAAAAGTTCATAGATTTGTTTTGGAAAATCTTTAAAAAGTAGTAACTGAATTGTCTTTAAACTATTGGATTCGACCTAAGATTTGGATTTACATCTTCTCTAGATTTTAATTTGAATCTTTTCTATAGATTTTCATTTTAATCTTTTGTAAATTTTAATTTTAGTCTTCTCTAGACTTTAATTTCAATCTTCTTTAGATTTTAATTTGAATCTTTTCTATAGATTTTCATTTTAATCTTTCTAGATTTTAATTTTAATCGTCTCTAGATTTTATTGTGGGTCTTCTCTAGATATTAATTTCAATCTTCTCTAGATTTAATTTCAATCTTCTCTAGATTTTAATTTTAATCTTCTCTAGATTTTAATTTTAATCTTCTCTAGATTTTAATTTTAGTCTTCTCTAGACTTTAATTTCAATCTTCTTTAGATTTTGATTTGAATCTTTTCTATAGATTTTAATTTTAATCTTTCTAGATTTTAATTTTAATCGTCTCTAGATTTTAATGTGGGTCTTCTCTAGATATTAATTTCAATCTTCTCTAGATTTAATTTCAATCTTCTCTAGATTTTAACTTTAATCTTCTCTAGAAAGAGGTTTAGTTCAAAATAATTTAATTTCTAAGAATGCATCTTAAAGAAAGTGTTTATTGTGAAACTTTGATTATAAATGCAACAGAAGTTCTAATGTATTAATTAAACTATTTAGGTTTTGATTTAAACTGAAAACTACTGGTAACATAAGTTTGGGGTCTGACTACTTCAAACTAAGTAGAATTTTTCTAAATTTGAAATATTAATGCTTTAAATAACACAATTCCTTTTTACGAAGGTTGGCAATGTCTGCAACCAAATAAGTTCGCAGGTCTGCTAATTCTTTATTGTAAATAAAATTTCTTCCTAATGTTGAGATTGGAATGAGTCTTGAACGGGTTTTAAAAAAATCTCTTCACATGGAATCCAAAATCTTAATCGATTTTAATTATAGTTCAATCCATACCCCTTTTAATTATCGCGTTGGCTCCCTTTAATTTAGATCTATTTCCTGACCTGTCAAAGAAAGAGAAAATATCTCGATATTCTTCTAATTTTTCCTCAGACAACCCTTCTGTTGCCTAAATAATAGCAATGTGTAAGATAAAAATGTTTTCATTGAATTTACCCTCTCTAAAGCTAAAGATTGAGATTTAACCACAAATTCTGATCTTTGCTACCCGATGTCGTAGATCTTTGATGGTACAAACTATGAATTATGTTTGATAAAATGGTCTAGTTTGAAACACATCAAAGGTTTACACCGTCAGGTTGCAAAGTTAAAGGGATTAGAAAATGTAATTTTGTTTTAAGAACTTAGTTTTTTTTATCATTGGAAAATATCTATACATTGCATATATTAATCTATATCTATATCTATATACATATATCATATCATCCTATAAAGTGCAAAATACATTTAAAACCACTAAATTTAATGAAATAAAATACTATCAAAACCAACCGGTTTCAGTTTGGCTTCCTTTTACTAATATCCCTCCTTTCTCTACTCTTTCTCCTACACCTATCCTATCCTCAAATACTTATACCTATCCTAATTCACTTATCCCTTCTTCCCCCTTACTATATATTATCCTCCTATACTTATACCTGTTCTCATATAACTATCCCTCTTTCTCCTTCTCCTGTGCTTATGCTATCCTCCTATCTCCCTCTCCTATACCTATACTCATATACCTTTCCGTCCTTCTTCAATACCTTTCCTTTCCTCCAATCCTCTTCTCTTATACATATCCTATCATTTTATATACATCTCCCATATTTATCCGCCCTCCTCCTTCTCCTATGCCTCCTATCCTCCAACTTACTTCTCCTACGCCTATCCTATCCTCCTATCTCCTTCTCCTAAATCCGTCCAATCCTCCAATCTAGTTCTCCTATACCTATCATATCCTACAATCCCCTTCTCCTAGCTATACCTAGCCTATCCTCCATTCCCCTTCTCCTATACCTATCATATCCTCCAATCCCCTTCTCCTATACCTATCCTATCCTCCAATCTTCTTCTCCTATACCTGTCATTTCCTACAATCCCCTTCTCCTATACCTATCCTACAATCCCATTCTCCTATGCCTATCCTATCCTCCAATCCCCTTCTTCTATACCTATCCTATCCTCCATTTCCCTTCTCCTATACCTATCCTATCCTCCAATCTTCTTCTCCTATACCTATCATATCCTACAATCCCATTCTCCTATGCCTATCCTATCCTCCAATCCCCTTCTTCAATACCTATCCTATCCTCCATTCCCCTTCTCCTATACCTATCATATCCTCCAATCCCCTTCTCCTATACCTATCTTATCCTCCATTCCCCTTCTCCTTTACCTATCCTATCCTCTAATCCCCTTCTCCTAATCCTATCCTACAATCCTATTCTCCTATGCCTATTCTATCCTCCAATCCCCTTCTCCTATACCTATCATATCCTCCAATCCCCATCTCATATACCTATCTTATCCTCCAATCCCCTTCTCTTATACCTACTTCTCCCATACTTATCCGTCCTCCTCCTTCTCCTTTGCCTATCCTAACCTCCAATCTACTTCTCGTATACATATCCTATCCTCCTATCTCCTTCTCCTAAATCTGTCTAATCCTCCAATCTAGTTCTCCTATACCTATCATATCCTCCAATCCCTTTCTCCTATTCCTATCATATCCTCCAATAAACCGACCTATCCCTCTTCCTTATCCTAAGAGAAGCTGTAAATAATAGTTTTATGATAATGCCTTAATCTATATTCAAGACGTATATGTCCGATAATAATCTAATCATAAAATTAAGATAATTTTCAGTATCATGCAATATATAGTTTTACTTTCAAGATTAACTATAGCAAATCTAAAATGTCAAGATGACGTTTACCAACGGTACCATATATACTCGTTTATAAAAATTGACAGTTTTTTTGTCACAACTTTTCTAAAATCTTTATTTTGAAATAGTTTATGACGTTTTTTCAATTTCTTTTCATTTACATTTTTATAAATTCTCTTTAACATTACTTTGTATCATTTCAAAAGATTTTAGAAGATTTGAACTTACTCTGATAATGTTGTGCATGATAAGACTTGTACATTGCAAAGTTGATATGTATATGTATAAAAATATATAGTGCAATGTATCTACATATAACTTACATCGATCAAATCTATGTAATACTAGGAGATCATTTAGCGACAACAAATATTAAACTTTGTAAAATATGGTTTCAATTTTATCATTTTTTTTTTCTTGTATTTTTATCACAAATTTGCGAAATTACACTAGAATGTTCAATGTTACATTTCAGAAAATTTGTTAAATTGTTGATCGATGGTTTCGAGGGTACTGAATTCAATTGATATATTTTTTCAATTTATTCATAAAATACAATTTAATCCAATAGATTCAATAAAACTTCTCTTTTCATCCATATTTATTATAGATATATTTCCTCATTTTATCTTTTATCCTTTCCATTTTTGTGAAGAATAATAAGATTTTACGGGTAATTTTCTCATTTAAAATGGTTAAATCAAAGTGAATTTGTGTCCTTCTTTACTGTGTGCACAAAGTTATAAAGTTTTGCATCAAAAATGTGGGAATAATTTTTCTGCTTAGCGATTTTTATTCTAAATACTCCATGAATGTTTTCCTTGCAATAGCTTTTGTCGAGTTTTTTTTTCTTCTAAAATATACGATTAGTAGCTACTAGTACCTCTCTGATCTGTAACTCTCTGTCGTCCGAATCCATTGATTCAAACCACAGGTCGAAAATCTTGATACTTAATTGAGAACGCGATAGAAAAAGAGCACGGCGTGGGCACGTGCTAAAATAACCGGATATACGTGTTTAATAAACACAAGGGTACTAGGAATAGCGCGGGAGATTTGAATCTACTGAAGAGAAGAATACGAGGATACGGCGGGGTGGAGAGGATTAGAGGATATGAGGATGTATATCTAGGAGGTCTTAGATAGTGGTTAGACGGGGTTTTGTACTTGGATAATACAGAATTTTATATCAGCAAGTAAAGGGCTTATTCATGTTTTTTTGATTTTTTTATATCGACTTTTTTCATTTTTTCGTCATTGTATTATAGAGAAATATTTATTCAATTATTGAAAATATTTATAAAATTTAGAATTGACCTCACGTTTGTATGTTGTAAATTAAAAAATAAATGCAATTAAAAAATATCTTTTGTTTGCACATCATGATTAAAGTGTCAGCTGTACTTAATTGTTCTAAAAATTTGTAATTTGATTCCGTTTTAAATAAACATTGAAAAGCCTTTCTTTTGTGAACCTACAATTGGATAAAAGTTTTTTTTTATTTTGAATAAATATTTTTATCAAGGATTCAATTTACAGAAACAATTCCATGAAAAATGATGTGTTTGGTATCACGAATAAAATATCTAAACGCACGGAATACAATAAAAATTTCATTTAATGGTAACTTTGTATTAATTATTTATTTATATATTTAATACAAATTTAACCCTAGCATATTTAACCCTAGTTACCTTGTCTTTATTTAACCTATTGTTACCTTGTCTATCAGTGGCGTGCGAGGGGGGGCCGCGCCTCCGAACCCCCCACTCACGCGTGCCCACCCTCGTACGCTCCTGTTGTCTTTATTTAGCCTTAGTTACATTGTCTTTATTTAACACTAGTTAACTTGTCTAAATTTAACCCTAGTTTCCTTGTCTATATTTAACCCTAGTTACCTTTTCTATATTTAACCCTAGTTACCTTGTCTATATTTAACCCTAGTTACCTTGTCTATATTTAATCCTAGTTACCTTGTCTATATCTAACCCTAGTTACCTTGTCTATATCTAACCCTAGTTACCGTGTCTATATTTAACCCTAGTTACCTTGTCTATATCTAACCCTAGTTACCGTGTCTATATTTAACCCTAGTTACCTTGTCTATATTAGGTATGAGTGGGCGGGTCTGTGGAATTAGGGGAAATGTTCTACTAAGACTGGGACCTAAACATTTAAAAAAATGATTAAATATTTATTTATATTCATAATTTGTAATAGTCTAGAAGTTAAAGAACAAAAGAAGAGTCTTGAGTCTGATTTTCTAAACACTATTTCTTTGAAACCAATTGTTGAAGACCTCAGATATTTCAAACTATGAATTGCGTTAGATTGAATAATTTAAGTTTAAAATATCAAAGCTGTTTAAACCATTAAGCTGCAAAGATTTAAGGATTAGAAAATTTGAGTATGTTGCAAATACTTAATTCTGAAATACATCATGTTAGAAATAAACTCAAACCATAATAAAAAATTACACTTTTTCTGCTTTATGGATAGCTTTAAATCAAAATGCCAATTTATTTATATTAGAATGTGGAATATTGTTTTAATAAAATATATATGATCGTAAACGCGAATTTCATAATCCCTAAACTTTGAATAATTGCCTAGAATTATATAAACTTATTTTGATAAGCTTTGTCGCAAATAATTAAAATTTAGTTAAGGTTATTAATGAAACGATCGAGAAAAGTGTTGAAAGGGGTATAGGTAGCACATAAATAGCTCTGAATAACATCTTATATCAATTTATCTGTTTCATAAATATCGGGCTATATAAAAAAAGGATTATTTTTAAAATTAATATGACGATTAACATGAAACTTACTTTCAGGGTAAAAGAGGCTTTTTTTCCTGTTTGGTTTGGATTTGTTTGATTCCCAGAGGATACTATTCATCCAGGACATTTTGTAATCTTTTTTCATCAATTCATTTTAAGTTTAAAATTTTGCGATTCAAAGTGGGTTTTTTTTAATTTCATTTTTTAAGCCGAGGTCGGAATTTTTGTATAAAATAACACTGTTTTTAACTTCCGATTTCGATATCAATCATAGCCGAAACTTTCAATTTGGAGCGATTAAAGGTTTTTCCTTGGAAAAAATGATATTTTTTGACCGTGTGAGGATTTTTGGTAGCTAATAAATTTTCAGACTTTGGAAAATAATATAAAAAGAAAACATAATCCATCGGACTACAAAGAAATTCGTATATGTCTGTGCATAATTAACGACGAATAGAGTAATTGCTAGATTTTGACATTTTGGAAAAACTTGTCTTTAGTCTTTAAGTTTTATAAACGTGCATTCATACTGGCTAATCAAGTATTCACTTATTTATTTATAATTTATTCAAGAAAATTTACTAATTATTTACTTATCATAAATCATTAAAGTTTCTTTTCCAAGTTTCCTACTCCCACTCCCTCTCCTATCAATGCGCAACTAGTAAAATTATTATTATTTCTTCAGTCCTCAGTCTAATATATAAACTTAATATATTTTATCAATGACTTGCCAAAATACCCGGCGTTGCCAGTGGTATCTTAAAAATCTTCCATTACTCAGCTATTAAAGAGTTTTCTGTCTCTAAAAGGGGAATCTGAGGAACCCATGTTAGCCGTTACATTTTTATCTTTCCGTGCGTTACGTTTGCCTAGCTAAAGGTAACATATTATAAAAACACCCAGACATTAATCCCAAATAAAAGTTATTTGGTCATGTGTTTGAACTTGCTTATTCACAGAACTTATTTGATTATTTATATACTGTGAGCCTATCGACTAAACATAACTATCGAGAAACGTTTTTGATCTTTGGTATCTAAGTTTATATTGTAAAAATTACAAACATACCATACATTGGTTTTATTTAATAAAGTGAAAGTTGAACGTAATTAGTAAACCAGAAAAAAGCCACATTTTGGAATTGCCATGTATTTCATAATTATTCACCGGGACCCTGAAAACTGTGAACTGGGAAGACAACCTTAGACTCAAGTTATGATTTTAAATACTCCAATATCAACGTGAAACATAGCAATTGTGTGCGGTAGATTCTCAATCTGCGGTAAAAAAGTTGCTTTATGATGTCAAATATACATTATTTGTATCGTAATCGTAAATTACATATAAAGAAAGAATTCCGTAAATATCTCATGAAGACGACATACTCTTGCTCATATTCATGCTGCATGGCCGGGACATATTATTTTTCTATATTTTTTGGAATGTAAAGTTACTCTAGGCTGCATTAGTAGCTGAGCAATAAAAAAACAACATGAATAAGTAAATTCGGGATAATTACTAAATGAATTACAGTGTGGGAAGGGGGGGGGGTCACTTCTGTTAATTAGACTGGTTTAGGCTGAACCTCACTGAGAATACTGGATCAAATTACAGTGTAATTTACTTTACTCCTAGACACAGAAACGGATATTTAGACAGAAATCATTTTCTAATATTTTAGAAAAAATATTTTTTTAGCGAAAATAATAAATTGTGGTTGGTAGCTTGTAATTGATATTCCTCCAAAAAGAAGGGAAAGTGTAATTGCATTATTGTGTAAGAAGATAATCAAAAAAACACATTTAACACCCAAAAATGATGGAGCCTTATGAAAATTTCTTCAACTTCAAAAATAACAGTAAATTGTCTTCAGTATTTAGTATTAAGTGGAATATTTCATAACAAAAGCGCTCGTTTAAATGTTTCAAACACAAAATGCACATTTCTGGAAATTGGTAAAGTAAAAATTGCTTTTGGTAAAATGGAACACATTAAAATTTGGAATAGAAAGGCAACATTTAAGCAATCTTATATGTTCCAATGATGTTGTTTAAAAGCAGGCAGTGTCATCAATAATTTAAAAAACAAACTTTTCGTTGAAATATATATCTGCATGTGCATTCTTCACAGTTGCCATGAGTTCCTGTCATAGATAAAGATAGATTGCGCATAAGACGAAATTTTTCATCTTGAAAGATATAAATGTACAGAGATGTTTTAAAGATATTCCTATTATATAGATTAACTAGGTCGGTTGTGAACATTGGATGTTCTTTTGTCATTGCGTACTTGTGGTGTACATGAGTTCTGTAAAAAGAAATTTAAGATAGTTTAGTCCTTCCCATGTCCATTCTTTATTTCTCGTCAATATGATATATTGCTCAGTGAAATAATTTGATATTCTCAAAATAAAATTCACTCCTGAGTGGTTTAATAATTATGAAATCCATTAAAACACTAAACCACCCCGCTTATCATTGAAGTACACTTTAACCCCTAGAAGTATTAGTTCACGGACTGTACTATTCTTGGTGATTTTGCTATCTATGTTTATTTATTTATCCATAGTTCCTGTTCATTGAACTATTTAATATCATAATTTGTGCCGACAAAATGGTCGTTTTTCTATACTTCAGTATTATTGGTCTTACTGTATAAAGCTTATATTAGGGGGAGCATTCTATCACTTCATAGATAGATAGGGATATCCCCTTATACTTTATGATACAGAGCGTCCCATATCATATTAGATTATCTCCAATCTTTAACACCTAAATACGCAAATTATACTAAAAAAATCTAGCATTTTCTGCAAAAAAAATCTATTAGCCTTATTAAACTCTTCAAAATGATTCATTTTTCTTAAATTTTCTGATTTGTCCCCCAAATCGTAATATAGACCCATTGACGCGGTCTAATTTGATGTGGGACACCTTGTATTCTCCGACAAGATAAAACTTTAAATGTCGTCTTGAATTTATTAACGCTTTATTACCTTTATCAATGAAACTGTATTTTTCGAAAGAACTTGATGCGTAAGTGAATTATTAAATCTGGTATTCAGTAGCGTATTTAGAAATTCGTCCAAGGAGAGGGGTTTAACAAATTGTATTTCAAAGGTGGGAGGCTAGCTGTTTAGGCCTGTAAATTCCTCTGACATATTTCACTGATCCCAGGGGGCTGAGCTCATAGCCCCCCCCCCCCATAGTGCAGTGTCTGGATTAGAATTAATACTACAAAAAGCAAACATTTTGTTCGTGGTTCTAAGGTTCTAAAGTTCCTGCAAATTTGACATTTTACAGTGTGTGGGGGAATGGGGAAACCAGGGAGTAAGGAATAGAAGGGAAATATAACTGACGCGGTTCGCCCTACCATGTGATTATACATGCTTTACAGACGAAGTACTCCATTTGAAAAAGAGTTTTTTAAAGGTCGTCTTTTAATTTTTTAAATGTAGTTACTTTACCATAATAAATAAAAACAATCTTATTTAATATAATATATGAATACATGTAATTGTGCATAAGACGACATTTAAATATTTCTTATTCAAATGGAGTACTTCGTCTGTAAAGCATGTATAATCATATGGTAGGGCGAACCCCGTCAGTTATATCTCCCTTCTATTCCTTACTCCCTGGGGGAAACATGCCTTTCAATAATTGAATTTTTCAAGTAATGTTGAAGGGATCTTTTCCTTTTTGCAGTTTAGCAAATGAATTATATGCATTCTTAATATTGATTTTAATTCTAATTCAGCCTATAGACCTCTGATACTTCCTTCTTATTTTGTAAAAGCTCTGATTTATAACAAAAAGATTACATTTGATGCAGATAAAGAAACTAAACTTTTCTGTAAACACCATCTTAAAGAAAATACAAGCATGAAGGTGCAAGAGCTTAAGCCCACGTTAATTTTTGTCTTCTTCTTTTGGGTTCAAAAATACACCTAGACGATTACTTCAGAATCGTAAATTAACAATTACGACACATTTGGACGGTCATTATAATTGCAGTTGTTTATTCCATACAGTTTGGTTTTATTTCTTTTGCAGAAAATACAGGTTTATACAAATAAAATCAAAACGACTACACACTTTATTCTTTCAATCTTGGTTCCCTGCCACTTCAAAGGAATTGAGTCATTGCCACAAACTTTGATTTTGTATTCCCTTAACCTTTACAACCCAATGTTGTCAACCCTAGATACTTCAAGCTATGAATTCTGATTCATCAAGTAATCAAAATTTGAAATATCTAAGGTTTACACCATCTAGTTTTAGAGATATAGGTATAATGAACATTGATTTTTGTGCAGGCTAAGACTTAATTCCTTTGTTTTTCTTTGTTAAATCAGTTATATAGTAGCTCGATCATTTAAAGGCTATATTCGATGCAAAAGAACATATTCAATCTTCTAATTCTAATGAAAGATTTTAAGGTTTATATCCATAATTTATGGATGTTTAAAAAACAAAAAAATGGTTGATCTTTGTAAAAATACTGAAATTTCAAAAAAGAAAATCTTTTTTTATACAGCTAGCTCTGTTTGTACCACAGTAATAATAAACCATAAAGGTTGGAATGTATAAGAATCGATTTTCCATGCTTTTCTCATTAAATATTTATTGATCTTGAACAGAAGTAAGGACTGTTTCTTTAATTTAATAAATCAAAGAACTGAGTTTCTTTATATTATATATTCTAATTTTTAAAAGTGAAAAAGTGCCACAAAACAAAAATTTTCTTATCCCTATATCTTTGCAATCTGATGTGTAGAGTTGAGACCTATTATGTTTCAAACTTAAACTGATCGATCTAGAAGAATGTATATTTTAAGATGTACGACTCCGGGTTACGACGATATAAGGATTTTTGCAAAAAGTCGGTTTCTTAAGACTGGCATGATTAAGAGCAACGACTCAAATTAAGTAAAGGAGGGGGGGGGGGTGTAAAATAAACCATTTGTTTTAATAAAAATACATCTTAATTTGCGTAGCTGTCCACCTATGTTCATTTAATTATAAGAGACAAAAAACAGTATTTTTATTCTTTTTCTATAAACTCACTGTGCAGAGAGGATGATATATCCGCTGGTCTAAAGTCTGGTTTGGTAAAATGTCAAATTAATTCTGTCATTAAGAGTGTAAAACCC